TCAAAAAAGAAGCCTGTAAGTCCTAATGACTGTGGAGTAACCATAACACTCCTGTACTGCCTATACACACATGAAAGAAAAATAAATTTCCATTTGGAAAAAAAGATATATCATATAAATATTATCTTAAAAATTATTTTCCAAACTAAGAAAATAAAAGCTAAAATTGATGAAATAGAAATTTTTTACGTGCAAAAAGAATGCATCAACTGAAAAGCTATTCCTTTGAGAAGACCAATAAAAACGATAAGCTTCATGAGCCTGATTATGGCAAAATTAAAATATGCCCACAAGAGAAATTATACATGATTAGGATTGAAAAACGATAACTATAAAAGAAATAAAAATATTTTTCAAAAAACTGTAAGAGCCAGGTATGATGGCTCATACCTGTAATTCCAGCACTTTGGGAGGCCAAGGCAGGAGGATGGCTTGGGGCTAGAAGTTCAAGCAACCTGTATGCCACAGTGAGACCCTGTCTCTACAAAAAAAATAAAATAACAACTAAAAAATTAGCCAGGCATAGTGGCTCATGCCTGTAAGGCCTAGGTACTCAGCAGGCTGAGGCAGGATGATTGCCTGAGCCTAGGAGGTTGAGGATGCAGTGAGCTATGATTGCACTACTGTACTCTAGGCTGGGTAATGGAGTAAGACTCTGTCTCAAAAAAAAAAATTGTAAGAATATTATACGCAAATCTGTGAAACAAATTTGAAAACTAAGAAGAAATTGCTTATTTCTTAGCACATAAAAATGCCTAAAATTGACCTAAAAAATAGAAAACATTAAAAGGCCAATTTCCATAGAATAGATTTAAAAGGTGATAAATGATAGCTATCCAAAGATGTCTATGTTCTAATCCCTGAATATGTTAATAAAGTATGTTATTTTACCCAGCAAAATGAACTTCACAGTTGTGATTATGTTAAGGTATTCCTAGGCATAGGAAGAGTACCTTGCATTATCCAGGTGGCCCCAGTGATGTAACCACAAGGGTCTTTGTAAGAGGGAATGTGGTAGGCTGAATAATGCCCCCCAGATATATCCAATTCTTGATCCTTGGATCCTGTGAATATTACTTTATTTGGCAAAGGGATTTTGCAAGTGTGATTAAATGAAGAATTTTTTAGAATGAGAGATTATCCTGTATTAGCTGGGTGGGCCTTAAATATACAATAATCACAAGTGTGCTTGTAAGAAGGAGAAAGAGGAAGATACGACCACGGTACAGGGTGATGTCATCATGGAAGCAGAGAGAGATTTGAAGATGCTATACTGCTACCTTTGAAAATGGAGGAAGGTGCCATGAGCCAAGTAATGCAAGTGGCCCCTAAAAGCTGGAAAGCGCAAGGAAACAGATTCTCCTCCAGAGCCTTCAGAGGGACTGCAGTCCTGCTGACACCTTGACTTTAGCCCAGTGAAGCTGATTTTGTACTTATGACCTCCAGAACTACAAGACAATAAATCTGTGTTGTTTTTTAAGCCCCTAAATTTGTGGTAATTTGTTACAGTAGAAATAGGAAACTAACACAGGTCAATATTGATCTACCATTAAAGCAAGGTGCCAGGACCAAATGTTTCATAACAGTGTTCTAACTCTTAAATAACAGATAGTAATAATTCTATTTAAGTTCCTTCTTTTATTTTATGAAGTCAGCATAATCCTAATACCAAAGCCAGATGGAGAATATAAAAATGTAAAACTCTTAAATGAATCTAGATATAAAAATTCTAAATAAATCATTAAACAAAATCTAGATTTTAATAAAATGAAAAATATATATTATTACTAAGTTGTATATATTTTATGAATGCAAATGTATGATCTAAAATCAATCACTTAACATCACTCATTACAACAGCAAATTAAGGAAGATAAACTACATAATTATATCAATACTTACTGAAAAGGTATTGCTAAAATTCATCCAGCTCACCTAATAATATCTCGGCATAACATAGGAATAGGAGGAAATCAATGGAAAAAAACAATGAATGACAAGTACATGAAATATATAAGTTCCCATTCATTTAATATATATTTAAGTAGTTCCTAGTACCAGGCACACTTGGTGACACAACAGTGAATATGATGGATACAAAATCTGTGCTCTGCAAAGCTTACAGTACAGTGAGAGTGACAGGAAATTTATTGGAGGCTTTGATGTGGAAGAAGGATATTGAAACCCATGAGAAAACACTAAGCTCAGTCAGGGCCATGTGACAACAGAATTCCAGCAGACAGTAACAATTAAATTGAGATCTGAAAAGTGAGAAAGATGTATACAGATTAAAGGGAGGGCAGGTGGAGAAAATATGTCTGGGATAGAGAATAACACTTACAAAGGCTTGGATGGGAGAGAACCAAAGTAAGTTGAGTGTGGCGGAAGTACAGAGCAAGAGCTCAGGATGATGTGATACAAACTGCTGAGAAAGGCTCAGCCCAGATCAGGAAGGCTTTGGAAGCCAAATCTAGAAGTTTGCACTTTACCCTATATGCAACGTGAAGATATGGGTGGATGTTAAGCAGAAGAGTTGCACTGGTTCTTTTGTTTCCCGTACCTCCAGATTCTCTGCCTTTTTCCTCTTCTGCCCTGGAAATCAGATCCCCATAGGGTTTGTCGCCCACTCTCCCTTGCCTACTGGCTTCCATATGGGTTCAGCCAATGCAGTGCCTATTCCCTGGGACCCTTTGCTTCATTGCTACACCTCTGATAGTAAGTGTATCCCTCCTTGAACACAGGTCCTGCCAGGCATCCCCTTTGTGGCTCCAGCTTTCACTGAATATTTCTTGTCTCTTCAGGCCTAAAGATGAATATGGCTTCCCCTGTTTCTAGTCTTTAATTCTGCCCATACCTCCATAAGTAGCACTTTCATCAAAGCTTTTCATTTGAACCATCTGAATTAAAGCCCATTTCCTTTCAGGACCTGACTGATACAGGCATGATTAGGTCACATTTGTGTTTTACAACAATCCCTCTGGCTGCTTTATGGAAAACAGATTGGAGGATGGCAAAGACTGGCTCCAAGGAGACCAGTGAGGAGGCTGCTGTAATTCTGGAGGTAAGAGAGAATGCTGGCCTGGTCTCAGATGGCAGAACTGGGGTTCAGGAGTGAGAAGTATAACTCCTGGCTAAAATCACGTGTGTGATATTTCAGGCCCTGCCACAGGCAGTTACAAAGGCTTTACCTGGAAGGCCTCATAGGAAAAGCTGCCCTTTCCACACCAGACTTGGTGCAGAGCCAATGCATTGTAGTGTCTGAAGAGAGTTGCAGTCAAGGACTCAGGCCCCCTGGCCAGTTGTGTTCTTATGTATAGCTGCATTCATGGCCCATGCATCTCCATTTAGAAGCCCTCTCCTTTTCAGGGAAACTTGAAGGCACTTTTCCCACTCTGACTCAGTACTCGGTGTTTTCTACTTCTAGCCCTCCCACTGTTCCTCACTTCCGGCTCCAAGGTCCATAAAACCACAGGAGCCTTCTGGTTGGAGATCCCTAAACAATGAGTTGACCCTACCAACACACTGTTCCATAGGGGGGAATAAAAAAAAGGGGAATCAAGGTTTGACTGCTACTTTCATTCTGGCATTTTTTTTTTTTTTTTTTGAGGTGGAGTCTCACTCTGTCGCCCAGGCTGGAGTGCAGTGGCGCAATCTCGGCTCACTGCAATCTCCACCTCCCGGGTTCGAGCTATTCTCTGCTTCAGCCTCTTGAGTAGCTTGGATTGCAGGCACCCACCACCATGCTCGGCTAGTTTTTGTATTTTTAGTAGAGACAGGGTTTCACCATGTTGAGCAGGCTGGTCTTGAACTCCTGACCTCAAGTGATTTGCCCGTCTCAGCCTTCCAAAGTGCTGGGATTACAGGCATGAACCACCACACCCGGCCTTGGCTCATTTTTAACCAACTGAACTAACACCTGAAAGCTCAGATTAGTTCCTGATGGAAAGAAGCATGTAGATTCCAGAGATATTTGGATGATAGAGTTGACAGGATTTGGCCATTGATTAGATTGGGGAATGGGATGGGATAGAGAACAGTGAGGGAAAATAAAAAGCCAAGGAAACTGCATAGGTGATTTGAGCAATGGAGTGGATGGTGGTGCTATTCACTAGACTATGAAACAAGGAGCAGGAGCTGAGTGGCAGGAAAATACTTTCATCTGGGGCAGGCAGGCAGGCAGGCAGGAAGGAAGGAAGGAAGGAAGGAAGGAAAAAGAGGTTTAAATAGACTCACAGTTCCACATAGCTGGGGAGGCCTCACAACCATGGTGGATGGTGAAGGAGGAGAAAAGGCATATCTTACGTCGTGACAGGCAAGAGAGGATGTGCAGGAAAACTGCTCTTTATAAAACTGTCTTATCCACTTATTCATTATCATAAAAACAGCATGGGAAAACCCGGCCCCCATGATTCAATTACCTCCCATCAGGTCTCTCCTAAGACATGTGGGGATTACGGAAACTACAACTCAAGATGAAATTTGGATGGAGACACAGCCAAATCATACCAGTAAGTTAATCCTGAAAGGCTGAGAATAAAGCAATCATAAAGGTGGGGATTTCCATTCTGTGTATATTTTTACATCCTGTTTTGTCTAAAGTGTTATTTTGAAACAAAGACTTGGAAAGAAGTCCAAGTAGACTCTGACCTCTCTTGCACCTCCTGTACCCATACTGAAGGTAATACAGATCCCATACTTCTATGAAATGAATGCAAGTTTTGGAATCAGGCTGACGTGGGCACAAATATGAACTTCATCACTAACTAGATATGTGAGCCTTAATTCTCCTATCTTTGTAATGAGAACTTTTTGGGGTTCTGGTCTGGATTAAATAAAACATTGTGTATAAAGGCCTAGGCACATAGTAGGTGCTCAACATAGTAAGTGCTCAATAAGTGGGAGCCACAGTGATATTTACTATGAAGCTTAGACCCGTCAGGAGAATGAAATGGGCCAGACTTTGGGAGGAAGAAAGAAGGTAAAGAAAGATGTAGACCAAGTGGGAAAATAATGTCATGTCTTTTAATTCACTTTTCATGGAAATCAGAAGAGATTGCAAGTAACAGAAGGTCACTTGGGTAGCTGTCCAGGATGCACAGGGTACCAAGAAATTTCATCAGATTGAAGAAACAAGTTCAAAGTTCATTAAAACTTCTGTTTACATTTAAGCAAAACCTCCTCTTAATTATTACTCTCAAAAGTTTCAAGCTAAAGTAACTAGATGATTCACCAAGTATGTAGATACCAGGTCTGAGACTCAGAAGACCTGTCCAGAGTGGGTTACCAAGCTCCAGGCCACCAGGCTAGGTACAAGAGTAAGATTGCAATTCTCCAGAAGGAAGAATGGAAGCCATTATCCCAGAGGAATATAGAATGAGCTATATTCTAAATGGTGGAGGGAAGAAACTAGAGAACAATACCTGGCAACAGGGACTGCAGGGGTAGCTGGTTTTGTTCATGTGTTTGCTGCCCAAGAACAATTTCTGTATCGTTGGGTGACAGATTCCTATTTAACTTTGCCAAATGATCTCTCCTATTGAAGATGCAGGCTTTCCCAAGGTTGACTGATTCATTTTCTTTCTTTAAATGTTGAATCTTCGGTAGATATTTAAAAATGAAAAAATAGTATGAATTCCTCTGAGCAGGACTGCTTTGCAGAGTCCCTATTCCATCCTTATTACCAGATCCTGTTGTTTCCTAAATTAGACTCTCCAGGATTCTTGTAGCTCTGTGAATTGCTCAATATCCTTCCAACAAATTCATTTTCTGCTTAAGTAAGTCAAAGATGGAGACCCAGTCACCCATCCCTGGGACACTGACTCAAAAAACAGTTTATATGAAAAGAGGGAATGCTCCTCATCCCCTGGAGTTCAAGATCAGGCTAAGAAACATAGTGGGACTGTCTCTACAAAAAAATTTTTTTTAAAATTAGTCAATCTTGGTGGCACACGTCTGTAGTCCCAGCTACTCAGGAGGCTGAAGCCTGAGGATCACTTGAACCCAGGAAGTCAGGGCTGCAGTGAGCCATGATTGTACCACTGCACTCCAGACTGAGTGACAGAATAAGACTTTGTCACAAAACATAACAAAACAAGTAACTACAATACAGCTCCCTGGGAAAGGTAACTTTTAGCTTTAATTCCTGCCCTTTAATAGTCTCTATATTGCAAGGTGCTAAAAATTCACAAACTAGGTTCCCAAGTTTCCTAACTAGGTGGCTTCCAGTTAGATTTTTTCCATAGGCAGGTCTTGGAGAAAGACCAGAAGGCAAGAGGAAGAGAGAAGCTATTTTTTCCCATTTTCTGTTTCTGGATCCAGCAGTAGTCACAGAGAGCCATAGAATTCAGAAGTCTCAGCAGGGAGTCCAGTGGCATCAAGAGTACTATGGGCTCCCAAGTTCTTGCAGGTTCAGTAAATGTGCAAATTCTCAGCCTCCTGAAAGGTAACAGCAGCAGTGGTTTCAATAAGTAGCAGGAACATTCACAAACAGATGCTGGCAACCTCAGCAGCACAGCTCTTTTTAGTTCTGGGTACCATCACTGGCCCTTTTTGCGCCTTCATGGATTTTATTCTCTCTGTTTGAATGCCTAGAGAAATTCCGCTTTAGAAAAGCAGAATCGAACACCAATTAATTGAACATCAATTACTAACTTGAGAGTGATCTACTATTAAACTTTTGGCAGGAATGTTAACAAATGAGTACAATCAGTAAGATGCAGTACAATTGAACACATTTGTGTTTAAACCAGGCTTCCCCCATCTATTAGTAATGTTATCTTAGTTAAATAACTTAACCAAGCCTCAGTTTTCCTTATCTGTAAAATAGAAATGATAGAATCCCTCATAGGAACGTTACATAAATTATGAAAATGTTTTATATATAATGATTTAATGTATGCGAAATGTACCTGGCACTGAATAGGCACTCAACAAATCTTTCCTACATCTTTCACCCAGCACTTGCTTGGTATGCCTTGGGTTGATGAACACAGACACATTCTAGAGATTTTTGTCTCAGTCAAGCTTCTGTCAGCAACTAGGGCACAATAGAAACTGATTACATGAGGAAGTCAGATATGGAGGAAAAATTAACTAGTTGCTGACAGGAAGTGTTAAATGGGATTTCTAGAAAGGATACTTCTCAGAAGAGAAGCATCACGCAAAAAAACTTTTAATCCTTCACTTAGTGACAGCCTAATTCAAATCACAAACATAGGCCTGTACTCAGAAAAATTATGTTCCTACATAAGCATAGGAATTAGATATTCTTTGGAAGACAGAAACCCTGGCTGCTGGTCCTATTGAGGATACCTTCATACTTCACACGGAAGCTGGAACAGATTATTATTATTATTATTATTATTATTATTATTATTACTTGAGACAAGGTCTCACTCTGTTGCCCAGGCTGTAGTGCAGTGGTGCAATCTAGGCTCAGTGTAAGCTCCACCTCCCCAGCTCAAGCAATCCTCCCACTTCAGCCTTCTGAGTGCTGGGACTACAGCCACCACACCCAGCTAATTTTTTTTTTTTTTTGTACTTTAAGTTCTGGGATACATGTGCAGATCTTGCAGGATTGTTGCATAGGTACACACAAGCCATGGTGGTTTGCCATCTCCATTCCCCCGTCACCTACACCAGGCATTTCTCCCAGTGTTATCCCTCCCCAACCTCCCCATCCCCCACTGTCCCTCCCCTACCCCCCCATCCCCCAACAGTCCCCAGTGTGTGATGTTCCCCTCACTGTGCCCATGTGTTCTCATTGTTCAACACCCACCTAAGAGTGAGAACATGTGGTGTTTGGTTTTCTGTTCTTGCGTCAGTTTGCTAAGAATGATAGTTTCCAGATTCATCCATGTCGCTACAAAGGACAAAAACTCATTGTTTTTTGTGGCTGCATGGTATTCCATGGTGCATTTATCCCACATTTTCTTTGTCCAGTCTATCACTGATGGGCATTTGGGTTGGCTCCAGGTCTTTGCTATTGTAAACAGTGCCAAAATGAACATACATGTGTGTGTGTCTTTATAATAGAACCATTTATAATCCTTTGGGTAAACCTAGTAATGAGATTGCTGGATCAAATGAAATTTCTATTTCTAAGTCCCTGAGGTATCGCCACACTGTCTTCCACAATGGTTGAATTAATTTACACTCCCACCAACATTGTAAAAGTGTTCCTGTTTCTCCACATCCACTCCAGTATCTGTTGTCTCCAGATTTTTTAATGATTGTCATTCTAACTGGCGTGAGATGGTATCTTAATGTGGTTTTGATTTGCATTTCTCTAATGACCAGTGATGATGAGCATTTTTTTCATATGTTTGTTGGCCTCAGATATGTCTTCATTTGAAAAGTGTCTGTTCATGTCCTTCACCGACTTCTGAATGCATTTGTTTGTTTGTTTTCTTGTAAACCTGTTTAGTTCTTTGTAGATTCGTAGATTGCAAAATTTTTTTCCCATTCTGTTGGTTGCTGGTTCACTCTAATGATTGTTTCTTTTGTTGTGCAGAAACTCTTAAGTTTAATTAGATCCCATTTGTCTATTTTGGCTTTTGTTGCCATTGCTTTTGGTGTTTTAGTCATGAAGTCCTTGCCTATGCCTATGTCCTGAATGGTATTGCCTAGGTTTTCTTCTAGGGTTTATATGGCATTAGGTCTTATGTTTAAATCTTTAATCCATCTAGAGATAATTTTAGTGTAAGGTGTCAGGAAGGGGTCCAGTTTCTGCTTTCTTGCACATGGCTAGCCAGTTTTCCCAACACCATTTATTAAACAGGGAATCCTTTCCCCATTGCTTGTTTTTGTCTGATTTGTCAAAGATCAGATGGTTGTAGATGTGTGGCATTGCCCCCGAGGCTTCTGTTCTGTTCCACTGGTCTATATCTCTCTTTTGGTACCAGTACCATGCTGTTTTGATTACTGTAGCCTTGGAGTATAGTTTAGAGTCAGGTAGAGCGATCACTCCAACTTTGTTCTTTTTGCTTAGTATTGTCTTGGCTATGCGGGCTCTCTTTTGGTTCCATATGAAGTTTAAAGTGGTTTTTTCCAGTTCTGTGAAGAAGGTCATTGGTAGCTTGATGGGGATAGCATTGAATCTATAAATTACTTTGGGCAGTATGGCCATTTTCACTATTGATTCTTCCTAACCGTGAGCATGGAACATTTTTTCATCTGTTTGTGCCCTCTCTTATTTCCTTGAGCAGTGGTTTGTAGTTCTCCTTGAAGGGGTACTTTACATCCTTTGTTAGTTGTATTCCTAGGTATTTTATTCTCTTTGTAGCAATTGCAAATGGGAGTTCACTCATGATTTGGCTATCTCTTTGTCTGATATTGGTGTATAGGAATGCTTGTGATTTCTGCACATTGATTTTGTATCCTGAGACTCTGCTGAAGTTGCTTATCAGTTTAAGAAGATTTTGGGCTGAGACGATGGGGTCTTCAAACTATACAATTATGTCATCTGCAAATAAAGACAATTTGACTTCCTCTTTTCCTAATTGAATACCCTATATTTCTTTTTCTTGTCTGATTGCCCTGGCTAGAACTTCCAATACTGTATTGAATAGGAGTAGTGAGAGATGGCATCCTTGCCTAGTGCCAGATTTCAAAGGGAATGCTTCCGGTTTTTGCCTGTTCAGTATGATACTGGCTGTGGGTTTGTCATAAATAGCTTTTATTATTTTGAGATACATTCCACTGATACCTAGTTTATTGAGGGCTTTTATCATAAAGGGCTGCTGAATTCTGTCAAAGGCCTTCTCTGCATCTATTGAGATAATCATGTGGTTTCTGCCTCTGGTTCTGTTTAAGTGGTTGATTACGTTTATCAACTTGTGTATGTTGAACCAGCCTTGCAGCCCCAGGAAGCAGCCTATTTGATCATGGTAAGCTTTTTGATGTGCTGTTGCATTCAGTTTACCAGGATTTTATTGAAGATTTTTACATTGATGTTCATTACGGATATTGGCCTGAAGTTTTCGTTTTTATTAGTGTCTCTGCCAGGTTTTGGTATCAGGATGATGTTGGGGTATCATAAAATGAGTTAGGGAGGATTCCCTCTTTTTTTATCTTTGGAATATTTCAGAAAACATAATACCAGCTCCTCTTTGTACGTCTGATAGAATTTGGCTGTAAACCCATCTGGACCTGGACTTTTTTTGGTAGGCTATTAAATGCTGCCTCAACTTCAGCCCTTGTTGTTGGTCTATCAGGGTTTCAACTTCTTTGTGGTTTCATCTTGGGAGGGGGCAAGTGTCCAAGAATTTATCCATTTCTTCCAGGTTTACTGGTTTATGTGCATAGAGTTGCTTGTAGTAATCTCTGATGGTAAATTGGTGGTGCTATCTCCTTTATCGTTTTTAATTGCATCTTTTCAGTTCTTCTCTCTTTTTGCTATTAGTCTGGCTAGTGGTCTATTTTGTTGATCTTTCCAAAAAACCAGTTCCAGGATTTATTGATTTTTTGAAGGGTTTTTTGAGTCTCTGTCTCCTTCAGTTCTGCTCTGTTCTTAGTTATTTCTTGTCTTCTGCTAGCTTTTGAGTTTTTTTGATCTTGTTCCTCTAGCTCTTTCAATTTTGATGATAGGGTATCAATTTTAGATCTTTCCTTGCTTCTCATGTGGGCACTTATTGCTGTAAATTTCCCTCTAGACCCTGATTTAAATGTGTCCCAGAGATTCTGGTATGTTGTGTCTTCTTTCTCATTGGTTTCAAAGAACATCTTTATTTCTGGCTTCATTGTATTGTTTATCCAGTCAACATTCTGGAGACAGTTGTTCAGTTTCCATGAAGCAGTGCAGTTCTGAGTTAGTTTCTTAATCCTAAGTTCTAATTTGATTGCACTGTGGTCTGAGAGACTGTTTGTTATGATTTCCATCCTTTTGCATTTGCTGAGGAGTGATTTACTTCCAATTATGTGGTCAATTTTAGAGTAGGGGTGATGTGGTGCTGAGAAGAATGTATATTCTGTGGATTTGGAGTGGAGAGTTCTGTAAATGTCTATTAGGTTTGCTTGGCCCAGGACCTGGATATCCTTGTTAATTTTCTGTCTCGTTGATCTGTCTAATATTGACAGTGGAGTGTTAAAGTCCCCCGCTATTATTGTGTGGGAGTCTAAGTCTCTTTGTAGGTCATGAAGAACTTGCTTTATGTATCTGGGTGCTCCTGGATTGGGTTCATATACATTTAGGATCGTTAGCTCTTCTTGTTGCATTGATCCTTTTACCATTATGTAATACCCTTCTTTGTCTCTTTTGACCTTTGTTGGTTTAAAGTCCATTTTATCAGAGACTAGGATTGCAACTCCTGCTTTTTTTTGCTCTCCATTTGCTTGGCAAATCTTCCTCTATCCCTTTATTTTGAGCCTATGTGTGTCCTTGCATATGAGATGAGTTTCCTTAATACAGCATACCAATGGGTCTTGAATTTTTACCC